CCTTCACCAAGACTTACATTTCCATTTGCCCCATTCATTATCCTTTAAATAATAAAGTAATTACTAATTATTTTTAAATACTTTGACAATAAACCCTCATATAACCGGAAAGTCATTGGGTCAGTTGAGTGGCAGTTGCAATGTTCCTATTGGCTGGTTGGAATTAAGCTGGATAGCGTGGACAAGGCGTGGACGTGAAAATAAGTTGTTTTGCATGTAAAAGTTATTTTTAATATGCTTTTACTATTGGTAATATTTTTTTGCATGAATCAGATAAAATAAACCACTTTGGCTACAACAGAACAATACATTGGCACATATAACTCAACTTTGATTTTTGTGTGACTTTGGCTATTTGCATGTTATCTCTTCATTTATGTTTAGATTTATAAATTATATTATTAAAAAAATTCCATATAAAAATACTATTTAATTCTTTATTGCGCACCTTTACAGTTATTGTTTAAATTTATTTTGAAGTATGTGAATAATTAAAAAAGTCGTTGAACTACTTTTATACCGATAGTGAGTAATATTAGCAAACTTATTCATTAAATAAATATCAAACATGGGAGAAGCACAAATTTTCTTAACAGATGTAACTTAATAAAATAAAAGCTAAATAACACTATCGTGTAGAAATAGAAATAAACCGACTGTAATCTTTTAACTTCAACTATATATTTTTTGGAAACTATTAATCAGATTTAACAGAGAAACGTACTGTTTGAAAGACAATTTTAATTTGCTTTACCATGATTTCATGAAGATGTCATGCACATGATGTCATGATGGGCTTATCATTTTTATGCATAGCAACCGATAAACAAATAAAAAGTATTTAATGGGGTGTTCGTTGTTCATAACTTATTAGTGATCAAGTTATTGCATTATGTCTAAAGAGTGTTCCAAAATTATGAGGAGACTGGATTCTTTCATATAAAAAAGGACCAAGAAGATTTAAAATTGATCGCAAAGCAAAGAAATCGTCAGCTTCATGCCCCTCAAGAACAACAACAGTTCTGTGAAGTACCAAGAGTGGCTATTAGTCAGTGAATAATAAGACGAAGGCTGCAGAAAAATAAACTAACTTTTAGATCAATTGCGACTGGTCAAAAACTTAGACCAACTCGCTTAAAAGTACACCTTTTTTGCACGGGATGAACTGAACTGGACATTGGACTAATGTGAACCTCTTCTAGAGAAGCATAGCGAGGCGCAGAATGTCATGGCTAGGCAACCTGAGAGAGTGTGGTGCGGATGTACATCAAATGAACTTTTCAGATCAGCCGTCTCAAAAGTCCGAATAGCTATGATGATTGCCGACCTCCGCCGCGGAGATGGCACTTGAAGAAGAAGGACGTCTTCTTCTACGGAACATAAAAAGAAAAGTGTACCGAAGATCAGAAAAGCGATTTGCAGAATGCTGCTTTAAAGAGTGAAGTGCTTATAGAGGGTGTTTCTGAATGATATCGGGTGCAATTTCTATAAAAGCTCGAACCGACCCTGATTTTATAAGTGGAGGTAACCATCTTCACAAGCTTTGATGGCTTTTTGGCCGAGCTGGCTATGGAATGGGAAGTTACATCTAATCGATTATTTATGGTATTAACCAAAACAAAGAATTCGAGCTAGACTCCATACCCAAATTTCGATCCTAAAGCTTGTTGGTGTAGTAGAAAAAGAATGGCTTAACATTCAACAAGAAACCATGAGGAAAAGGTTCATCTTTTTTGGGGTTCCAATATTGACATTATGTTCGTATTATTTTTAGAGGTTTAGTGGCATTTTTGTATCTGACGACTGGAGTATACCAATAAAAAAATTTAATTTGCTTGATGCAAAAATTTCACTATATCAAAACATGTAAATATGAAGTTACAAGTAATTGAGGAAGTAGAGGCACTAAGAAGGCCTCGTCCCTAGACGGCATCCATGCGGAAATGATATGGAAAGGGACAGAATAACTTCATGTACAAATATATCACCCTATCAATGAAATATGGCAAGGAAAAGCGATGTCGATAAAATAGGGTGAAAGTAGAAAGTTTCTTTAGCCGTTCATTGAAAATATATAGCAGGATTTTGCTTGCCTGAGGAACAACGGCAATGGTTCTGTAATTGCTGCATACGGTTAATGATCCTTGTTTGTGGATATAGATAAAGGTGGGCGGGCACCAAGAGACCTTCCAGGTCATATGATACGAAATCAAATTGATTACATCTTGATAAATAAAAGATTCCCGAGTGGCCGCTTACCCTGGTGCGGACATTTCGTCTGACCACAACCCCCTAATCGCGAATGTAAGGCTTCGATTAGCAAAGGTTAAAAAGCCATCTAATAAAAAATACATAAACACTAGAGAATTAATGAGAGATGAAGAGCTTAGATCCACATACAGTAAGCACATCAACGAGAACTTGAGAAACATACAAGGAAATTGCATAGAGAAAACCTGTGAGAAAATAAAACTAGCTATAGTCGACGCTGATAAAGTAGTCGCAAGTAAAATAAAAAGAAATCACAAAAACGAGTAAATGACGGAAGAGATACTTGATCTAATGGAGCAACGTAGACAGTACAAAATACATCAGAATCAACAGGAAACAAGGAAATCCAACGATACGATAAGGGCAAGAATTAAAAACGCATAGGAAAGCTGGATGAAAGAATGTTGTAAAGAATTGGAATCACTACAAGAAAATGGAGACAGCTTTGGACTACATAAAAAGGTCAAATAAATTTCGAGTATATACAAGAAACACCATGAAACTCGCCTGAAGAATGATCAAGGAAACTACGTTTATACCCAGGAGGAACTAGCTAAAAGCTGGGCAAGCTATGCTTCGTCCCTCTTTGCGGATAATAGACCGAATCTGCCAACTACTAACTTACCCACAGAAAATTTATCCGGCCCTCCCAAAGTAGCAAAACTGGGCAAGGCCCCTGGAACCGATGAAATTACTATGAAATCCATAAAACTGTTGGAAGATGATATCATCGACATGCTAGTAACAATTTTCAAAGCCATATATAACACCGGCTACATTCTAACAGATTGGCTTTTTTCAACCTTTATAATGATCCCTAAATCACAAAGAGCGACAAAATGCAAAGACCACAGACTGATAAATTTAATGAGCCATTTGCTCAAGGTATCTCTGCGCATCCTTCGCACAGGAATGTTCAGAAAGCTGGAAAATCTCAGCGGTGAGACACAATTTGTTTTCAATAGCGAATTGGATACACATGAAGCAGTTTTCTTGAATACGCTTGTACAAAACTGCATGGATCAACTAAATACTTGGAAATGATGATGAATGACCAATGGGATCCTCAACAATATATAAAATGCCGTACCCAACAAGCAAGACAAGCTTTTATCAAATTTAAACTGCTACTATGTAACCGCAATCTTTCCTTCAGTCTCTGCTACAGGATGGTTAAATGCTATGTATGGTCCATATTGTTATACGGCATGGAAACATGGACGTTAAGAGTACCTTCCATTAATAAGTTGAAAGCCTTCGAAAGGTGGACGTTGCGAAGAATGTTCCGCATACCATGGACAGATAGGGTGAGAAACGAGGAAGTCTTAAGAAACGCAAATACTGAGAGAGAACTACTCAATTTGATTAAACGAAAAATTGCATACCTCGGCCATATTCTGAGAGGAAAAAATACGGAATCCCTCAACTAATCATCCAGGGAAAGATTGAAGGCAAGAGAGGAGTAGGTCGCAAACAAATGTCGTCGCTACGGCCTACGGAATATAAAGAACTGGACAGGCATAAATAACACTGTCCATCTTTTGTATGCCACAAGAGACACGTCTGGCCTTAAGATAATTCGTCAACGCACTATAGGTGCACGGTACTATAAGAAGATAAAGGTTAATTCGCCTGTGATCCATATTATGTTGCACATGTCCAATATTACATCTAGGCCAATCTCTCCCATTGCTCTTAGAGTATTCGCTGGTATGTCATTGATCCCTGGGCTTTTTTGTTTCTTGTTGGTTGAAAGCCTTCTAAACTTCTGTCCGTAAATTGAGTGGTTCTGCTTCTTTAATGACATGTTTCTTGTATTCTGAGACTCATGCATATTTTAAAGTGTCTGTGTATAGTGTATAATTCTGACCAGTGTTGTGGCTTGATCTCTCGGACGTTTTTAAATGTAATTTATGGGTAATAATAAACTTCTACAAAGCGTTATGTCATTTATTCGTATATATATATATATATATATATATATATATATATATATATATATATTATATATATATATATATATATATATATTATTAAATGCACATCAACCTACTTACTTTCAAAAATAAGATTTTAAAATGGTCTAGGAACTGTCGTAAACACTAGGTAAATCATGTCAACCAAAATAGATAAGAGTCAAAGAGAAATTTATCAGACAAAATAAAGGTACCTATTTCGGAAGGACTTTTCCAACTTTTCGATGTTTATTAAAAATGGTAAACGACACCAACATAAAGAATTTCAAATAAATTGATAACACTTGTCAACTGTTGGAACAATATCCATTACATATTTAGGATAAATATACACCATACTGAGTAGAAAAAAAGAGAAACAAAGAAGGATAAACTGATATGATCTGGAAAAAATCGTAGAATGGAAATAATATTGCATAATAATATTCTAAATACTGGAATTAATGTTACAGTTTATAGTTTGTTCGTTAAGTCTTCGGTAAAAGTGTCGATTGAGTATGGACTACGTGTTTTTAAAACTTAGTTCATATATATGTTTTAATATGTATATAGGTAATTTATTTAATTATATGTAAAATACTACTTAAATTAATTACTTAATATTATAAATTTGCGACATGTAAATTGACATCTTAATAAGCTATCTTTAAAAAAGGTCAAAGAATAAATATATGAAAGACAAACTATTAAATGTTAACAAACAAAATCAAATACACAATATTAAAACTAGACAATTAATATAAAAAAACTCACGTGCTATACACAGTGTACACAATCCTAGAAAAACTAACAGTAATCCGAAAGTACGACTCATTTTGATATCACAACTAAACTACAAAAATCACAGTATTTCAGTAACAACTGATTTAAAAATGAAGAGATCACTAAACAAGTTTAAAAGTTGATTTGTTGATGACCCATGCTGATCTTTCGGTCAAACGTTAGTTACCCAGCCAGCCTTGGAAATACCAACAACACAAACGTCTCTGCTAAGTGGACTGCAGGAAACCCAGTACGTAATTTGTGACGTATTCGCGTTAAAATACACTAGTCAGCAAGTGAAAGGTAACCGGCTGTTGATTTGTTTAAAATATGTAATAATAAACTTATAATACCACAAAAACTATTAAACAAATGTCGCGTCGGAGCTGTTGTTATGTTTGTCTAAAATAAAAAGTAATTTATGTGTAATTGAGATTATTAAAAAGCTCATTATCGTTTGATATATAAAATGATTACTCAATTACTCAGTTATTCGTGACATTAAACAATAAATATGAAATAAACTACTTCGGAAATGGAAAAAATAACTGCTTAAAAGCCATCCGAATTTGAACAAAAAAATATCAAGATTCGACTTTGTAATTCCAAAAAATATTTGGTCAAATTAAATCAAACTTAATTTGATTTTGATACGTTTCTGTCGGATCTTTGTTTACCGTTTCAATATTTTGATTGTTTAAAAATTCTATTCTTTTATTATTATACTCTATTTTATCTTTAGCAATATAGTCTAGGCGGGATCTGTTTTGGATTGGACATTTTCCCTAGGAAGCTATTTTTTTGCTGGAATTATTTCAAGATGTGCCCAATATCGATAATCACGATATGCGCCAGTCGCAAACCCTGTGCTAAATTTTTTATTTAACAAAATCTGAAAACAATTAAAATTTCTCATTTTTTTGCTCCTATTTCCGTTTATAATTCGAAAAATATTGATCCTAGAGAAAAAAGTTATAAGAAGTTAAAAGTTTCGTTATTCAATTTTACACATTATTTCGTTAGCTAGAAATTGAAAATTTAATGTTTATTGTTGAAAAAATGCAATTACTTGTTTAACGTACAATTATTTATTGCAAATTTCCCAATTTTCAATAGAAAATGGTATTTGAAAATATGGTATTCGAAATCCTTGGTTAACAAGAAGCCGAGATAATGCAATTTTTAGCGCGCGCTACGATTTTCAACTCGCCGATTCACATTTCGAGTGAATGTCCCCCACTATCACCTCTCATGCATTCCGAGCGACATTTTAAGCCAAAACTGTTTTATATTTGTCTTTTTTATGGATGTTGCCATGAAGTGCATTACGTAAAATTTTTCATATAAAATGTAGGTAGGTACTTGACAAGACGAGGATATTTGTTTAAAAACGAGCCCTCTATCACTTATGGTTCCACGGCAAATGTATGCCAACTTTGACCTTCAGTATCTCGGTAACCAGTAAGCCGAATGTATCTTTTTTTTTAAAGCAGCGTCTTTTAATGTTTTTTAAGTGTATAAATTTTGAAATTGATATGTTTAAAGCTCTAAAAGTTTTTCAATTTGTTTATAAGCCTAAAAAATATTTAAAACTTTATAGAATATTCTAGGCTCTCCTAGTGAACCGATGTGAATTTTACAAAAAGGGTTTGAAAGTTTGAGCCTTCCTTTATATGTAAAAAAATTTGCAACTATCTGAGGGCCTTATTTAGGGCCTACTATAAATTTGAAAATTTGTGATTTTTTCCAGTAGGCTGGATTGCAAAATTATTATGCAAAACTATCCGACCGATCTTAACAAAATTTAGCACACGTTTTAAACATATTAAAAAGTTTTTCTAGGCGGAATATGGAGCTTGTATGTCAAGTTTAGAAAGTCGAAAACATTTAAAGGATTAACTTCATTTTTTTGTACTTTTTTTTTCAATTATTGCTATTTTTTTCAACAATAAACATTAAATTTTCAATTTCTAGCTAACGAAATATTATGTAAAATTGAATAACGAAACTTTTAACTTCTTATAGTTTTTTCTCTAGGATCAATATTTTCTGAATTATAAACGAAAATAGGAGCAAAAAAATGAGAAATTTTTAATTGTTTTCTGATTTTGTTAAATAAAAACTTTAGCACGGGGTTTGCGACTTGCGCATATCGTGATTATCGATATTGGGCACATCCTGAAGGAATTTCAACAAAAAAAAATTGCGTCCTATGGAAAATGTCCATTATGGTCTGAATTTTTACAGATCACGCCTAGTCTATAAGCGGTCATATAATAGTAGTGTCACCTTTGCTATAGTAGCGTTAGAAAATTCAAAATCAATAATAAGTTCAACAGAACAGAAATACATCAGTCAGTGGTGGCGCAGGATCATAATTTTATGTGGGCAAAATTCATTTTGCGAGGCCCTATATGAGGAAAAAATACCAGTACTTGGGAACTTTGATCAATGAAATTAATGATCATACTGTAGAAACAGGCATAAACAGGCAAATAGAGAGTGCCAGATCAGCATTTATACGAATGAAGCTACTCCTAAAGTGCAAAAATCTAAATTTGGAGATCAGACTACGTACCATTCGCTGTTATATATTTTCAATATTATTATATGGAGCTGAGACATTAAAAAAATGTAATTTAAAAAGAATCGAGGCTTTTGAACTCTGGTTATACCTCAGAAAATAAAAATATCATGGACTGATAGAATTACAAATAAAGAAGTACTAGAGAGGGTTGGTAAAGAAGCAGAACTAATCACTACTATACAAACCAGAAAACTGGAATACCTAGGCCACATGATGAGGGGACCAAAATATGAAATTTTGAGACTTATAATACAGGAAAAGATTCAAGGAAGAAGATCTGTTGGCGGAAGGCAGAACTCATGGTTAAAGAATCTACGTGATTGGTATCAATGCAGATCGATTGATTTGTTTAGAGCAGCAAGTTCTAAAATAAAAATAGCCATTATGATTGCCAACCTCCTTAAAGAGACCGCACTCTAAGAAGAAGATATGACAGACATTGATAAGAGAAGATAGACAGTGAAATTATACTGCATAAATTAGAAGCCTTTGGTTTTCGGGGTCATTTCTTGAACTGGTTAAGGTCATACTTACAACATCGTAAATTCCTAGTAAAAGTCGATAATAAGAAGTCATCTGTTTTTCATCTTGATCAAGGTGTACCGCAAGGCTCCGTACTGGGACCCTTAATATTTCTTTTATATGTCAATGATTTGACAAATTTTTTAACTGCAGACCATACAGTTCTTTATGGAGATGATTCAATAATTGTAGTTGACGAGTCAACTGAAGTCGAACTCATATTAAAAATGAACTTAGTAGCACAGGAATTTACAACCTGGTGTAAAAGGAACTCTTTAATAGTAAATGCAAAGAAAACTATTTGAATTCAGTTCTACTATAATAGCGCTGTAAGCCATCCAATGGTTATAAAATCACAGTTAGTTCGGAGGAAATACCTTTTAGTGATACAACAATATTTCTTGGTAACTTTCTAGAAAGTAATATGACATGGGATGAAAATGTCACTAAAGTCTGCAAAACATTGAATAAGGGTTACTATGTGATCCTTCAGTTGAAAACTATATTTAACACCAATCAATTGATAAGTGCATATTATGCATTGGTTTATTCATATATGGCCTATAATGTTGTCTTGTGGGGAAACTCTAGAAACTCTTCTAGAGTTTTTATAACTCAAAAGAGAATTCTTAGATTGATATTCAATATTGATAATAGACAATCATGTCGTAAATATTTTATTGAACGCAGGCTGTTAACTTTTCATGGTTTATATATTTATAAGTCTATTATTCACGTCAGAACTAAATTTCAAAATTTTACTTTCAACTCTGACTTTCATAACTACCCGACAAGACACGGGAGGTTGATAAGCGTGTGTAAACACTCCACAACTCTCTTTGAAACTAGTGCTAATTTTGCAGAATCTAAATTTTACAATTGTTTGCCAGTTAATATAATAAATGAAAATAATATTCAAAAATAAATTAAAAGCATGCTTGATCCAATTATGCGTTTACAACCTAAATGATTATTTTGACTTAATAAAAGACTACAGGGAATGAGGACCGACGGATTCAAAGAGGCTCTATATTGCATATATTTTTTTTATTTTTTTTATTGATTTTGTTTTTATGTAATTTCCTTGTAAACTTGTTGATCATGCTTTATGTACTATATGACTTGTCATATATCACAATGTGATCTGATGGGATTAATAAAGATTATTCTATTCTATTCTATGAGGAAACTTACAACTAACCTAACAATATTTACGAATATTAAGACCTACCAATGTTAAAAAACAATTTAATTTAAATACTACAGGAACAGAAATTTTCTACTTTTTACACTGCTGAATTGTTAAATTACGTGCTCGTATCTAGCTTGAATGCTATGTCAGCCTCGATAGATAAAATTGCGACCGCAGAAGGTGTTTCATGTGACACATCTCTATTTAAATAATAATTCTTAATGAGTTTTCATTTTCGGAAGCTCTTTTCAGCGGAGACTATAATAATTGTTATTGTTAATAATATTCTAATGTCGATGTAAATCATTGGGTATATTATTTCTTTTAAGTTAGTATCTGTAATGTATTGAAGCAACTGCTTCAGGAGCGGAAATTCTTCGCTAGCGATATGAACGCAATTTCAGGGGAATACCTTTTGTTAGGAAAGCAGTGACGTTCATTGCGGTAGCATTATTTCTCGGCACTTTTTTTGGCGCATTCTTGGCTTAGGTTTAAGTAGCACATAAATCTCCATGACGCGAGGACCCTCGGACCGCGAGACCGTGGGTGTGGTCCACATCCCCCACGCCTTACGGCGCGTCTGACCTCAAAATCATGAATCCACAGCCTCCCAAATTATACTCTTTTTTAAACTACACAAACCGGATTGCCAATAAGATCTGTAGTTTCTTTTTATATAGATTCATCATATAAACTTTCAAAAAAACTGTTGGAGATTATTTTTGTACACACTAAATTTTCACCTAAATTTACCGTAAAAACCATTTTCAATTACCTAACAACCCCAAAATAATTTCATTTGACGTAAAAAATATTTTTCCTATTATTCCTGCAACAGAAACTTTTGTTCTAGTAAAAAACCTTTTAGACCATAATATTTCAAATGCAATCATTACATCTAAAATTTTAAATCTTCTTTAAATTTGCATAAACTAGGACTACTTTGAATTTAATAATCACATATATACAAATAACAATGCAGGACTTATAATAAGTAATCATCTAAACCCATTGCTATTAGATATTTTTATGGATCATCTAGAGATAAATATCATTTATCTCTAGATAAGTATTTTTTACAGAAATTAATAGGCAACGTAATCAATATTTATCTTATATTAATTCACTCCATAGTCAAATTGAATTTACAATAGAAACAGAACAAAATTAATCCATAATTTTTTTAGATTTAAAAATTATCAGACTTAAAAATAAACATGACTTCTCCGTATTTCATAAACCTACCCATACTTACACGACTATACACAATTCATCATCCCATCCTACACAACATAAACTGGCAGCCTATACAGCCTAGCATGTTACATAGATTAACAGAAATTCCTATGTTAAAATACAAATTTAAGACAGAATTAAATATCACTAAGGAAATAACAGTAAACAATGGGTATTACGGGAAAGTTTACAATGCGTATTAGGAGAACCACCCGTTTACGATGCAAATATTTTTCTCTCTCATATGCTTCTAAAATGGATATTAATAAAGAACATCCTAATTATACCAATACGTTCACAGATAGAATTTTAGACACTTTCTCTACAACAAGACTAGATCCACCATTATACAAAAAAGTTAGAAGAAACCTTCATGACCTACATCTTGAATTTGCTGAAATTCTCCAACAAATTTCCTAACTTCTCCACCTTGGTTAATACAAATTCCCAAGATTGATACTAACCTTACCATATATAAAAAAGTGAGACTATAACAGACCTGATCAAACAATAATTCTTAATAGAAATGGAAACTTATATAAATCACTATAAGATATACACTGACACATCCAAATCTTCAGACGGTGTTGGTGCAGCCATTCTCACACCCAATACATCCTTAAAATTTATATTCAATCACCTTACTATGTCATTCACTGCAGAGTTGTTTGCAATATTACAAGCAATAAAAGAGTCGAAACAGTCCACGTCTCTCATAACAACCGATTCACTAAGCTTTATACTATAGAACAAGAAAAAGCTAAGCAACTTCAGGAAGAAATTCTAGAAGATAAAGATAAACTTAAACAATAAAAGGAGAAACTATTTGGTCCCCTAGTATGGTGCAAATTATCTTCAGGAATTAAAATTATATATTTAGCAAGCAGCAAATATTCTGGATTATTTTGTGAATGAAGATGTTATTTTCCGAAATGCAACTCGTTTCTCTGATGACTTAGATTCGGTTGCTTCCTTTAGGGATAAGTTAATTGTGTCAATGATTAATAGAAGCTCTATTTTAACAGTAACAGAAGATGAAGAAATTGCTGGTATTTTGATACTTAAAGCTGTTGAAGTCATATTTTGGAAGAGTTTTCAGCAGAGTTACAATTATTCAAGGAAAACCTTACACTAGCATTACAAAATTCATGAATAAAATAAACAGAACAGTGGATGTTTATAAAATTTAATTGTGATATTTATTTAAGATGAGATATATTTATATTACAAGGAACACAAAAAGTTTATTTATATTTTGTCGATACCATTATGTATATGAATTACTGAAAATTTCTAGAAAATCCTTTGTACCTATATCGTTCTTGATATAATAAAACCGGTGCTATATTTAAATAAACTTTAAAGTTAAAGTTAAAATGCATATAAATACAGAAAAGTAAGAAATTAGGTTATCAGTTCGAGAAAACTAGATTGCTGCATAAAAATTTCCTTTATATCACCATTATGGTAATGACATTAATGATTCTTTTTAACTACTAACCCAAAAGGAATTATTTTGAGTTTAATTCGTTTATTTTTCTTTTTATCAAAAATAGCATTCAAAATCTTCCAGAGTTGGGGCCTGGCCTTTAGGCGACCAGTGGATGGGAGGGACCATCCATAGGCGTGGCCACAGTTGGATCCGCGGGTGCCGTGGAACCCACATAAAACTTGCGAGGGGCGCAAAAATTTTGCTTCTATAAACAACAACTAATCTGTAAATAATTTGAGCAATATTAAATAAACGAGGTATTAAAGAAAACGAAAACAAATGTCTGTTTGAAGGTAAAATACCTAACCAATGGAGAAATGCCAACGCAATCTTAATACATAAGAAAGGAGACCGAACATACCTAAACAACTACCGTCCTATTTCCATTTTGTCACAACTGTATAAAACCTTCACAAGAATAATAAACAACCGACTAACCTATAAACTTGATAACTACCAACCAGTGGGACAGGCCGGATTCAGGAAAGGATACAGCACAATAGACCATCTACATGCGCTTGAGAAAACCAATGAATACAACCTTCCGCTGTACTTAGCATTCGTAGATTATGAAAAGGCTTTCGACAGCATTGAACACTGGGCGGTTGAAGAAGCTCTGGTCAATAGTAGAATAGATTCAAGATACCGACAATTGATACATGATATTTACCAAAACGCAACCATGACCGTAATTCTGGACGACAAATTAATAACGGATAATATAAAAGTTAAACGTGGAGTCCGACAAGGCGATATAATTTCACCTAAACTTCTTTACCTTGACCCTCGAAGACATAATAAAATCAACAGATTGGGAAAACAGAGGAATATGTATTAACGGAAAATACCTAAATCACCTTAGATATGCGGATGATATACTCCTGATCTCCTCGGAACGACAAGAACTGGAATTAATGCTGAATGAATTTCATGAAAAATCACTGCAAAATGGCAATAAAAATACAAACAGAAAAAATAGAACAAATAAATGAGTATATCTATCTAGGACAAGCAATCAGAGCTAACAGAGAAAATCAAACAGCCGAAATATCGAGACGAGTAAGAATGGGATGGGCAGCGTTCGGCAAACTTTCTTACGTTCTAAAAAATCAAACAATCCCTCTATACTTACGAAGCAAGGTATATAACTCCTGTATAATACCGGTTCTCACCTACGGAGCACAGACATGGACATTTACACAGGCCAATTTGGATAGGATAAGGAAGGCACAAAGAGCGATGGAGAGACAAATGTTGGGTATATCACTTAAAGATAGAAAACGTAACCAGTGGATCAGAACCAAAACAAAGACAGTAGACGCGATAGAACAAGCAGCAAAACTGAAATAAAAATGGGCTGGACACAATGAACGTCTCCAAGATGAACGATGGAACAATGCCATCGGAAAGTGGCGTCCATACAATGCAAAGATATCAAGAGGCAGACCACAGATGAGGTGGAAAGATGACATCAGGAAACAAGGAGGTCCCACATGGCAGTGAACAACTCAAGATAGGGAAAGATGGAGAGAACTGGGGGAGACCTATATCCAACAATGGAAGGATAGAGAATAGGTTAAAAAAACCATTATTCTACAGAAATAACATAAAACAAAAAATATAATTTTCATTGTTTTATTTTGAAATCATATACAAAAAACAACAAATACAGTCAACTAAAGTTTGCGTAACTGTGTACTAGTATTCTTTTGGGAATACTACCTCTCTAGTATGTTATATGGTCTAAAATCATTTTTACGTAATGTGCTACAGATGTATATATTGCTGGACCAGTTGCACATTTAGTAAAACCATGGGAGACTATTCCCACCAAGTAGTGGCGAGTTTCTCCATCTAAGACTCTCCTCATTGTTATTCCACCACCAGAATCACCAGCGCAAGAGTCCCGTCCTAAAATCGTCAAAATATTAATATAAAATATAGAGTAAGTAATAAAAGGATAATACAAGATCACAAAAATAGTAAAAGTAAATAACATTAACACAATCTAGAAACACACGCCAGGTGTAATCAGGTTTCTTTAGCAGGTCACTTGTAAAGGACCTAGCGGGATATGAATGTCCAAATTCTAATAAAAACTTGTAGTTTTTACGTTTTATCATCATTCTAGTATGTTGATTCATTGCACTCTAACCTCAAAATTGTAAGTAATGCAGAGGGGTTTACTTATATTCTCATATGGCCACCGTCATCATTATCATCCAGTCCCATTTTCACATTAATTGTTGGATATAGGCCTCCTCCAAACGTCTCCAGTTCTCTCTATCTCTAGCTGCTGCAATCCAGTTTGTTTCTATTCTCCTTAGGTCGTCGGTCCATCGGGTGGGTGGTCTAACTCGACTTCGCTTATCGGCTATTGGTCTCCACTCCAATAATCTCTTCGTCCATCTTCCGTCTTCCATTCTAGCAACATGTCCAGCCCACCTCCACTTTTGTTTATTGATTCGCAGTATAATATCGTCCACGCCAGTTCGTCGGCGTATCTCCTCATTTCTCACGAGATCTTTCAAGGTCAGGCCCAGCATTGATCTCTCCATTCGCCTTTGTATTACCCTCAGTTTTTCGGCAGTAGCTTTCGTTAAAGTTAGGGTCTCTGCTCCGTAGGTCAAGACTGGTAAGATGCATTGGTTAAATGCCTTTCTTTTCAGGTGAATTGGGATATTTGTTTTAAAAATGTCTCTCATCCTTCCATATGCCGCCCATCCCAACGTGATTCGTCTATTTAGCTCGCAGGTTTGGTTGTCTCTCGTTATTCTAATTTCATGCCCAAGTATGTGTATTTATCGATTAATTCTACCTTGTTGTTATTGATCTGTATCTCTTCGCTGGGAACCATATTGGTCATCATTTTGGTTTTCTTGATATTTATCTCCAGCCCAGTTTCTTGTAGTATGTCATTCAGTTCTTGGAGCATGTCTTTGATCTCTCCCATATTATCTGACAGAAGCACGATATCGTCCGCAAAACGTAGAAGGTTTAATCTTTCTCCATCGATGGATATTCCTTTCTTTTGCCATGTTAGTCTTTTAAATGCATACTCAAGCATGGTAATGAACAGCTTTGGTGACATGGTATCACCTTGCCTGACTTCCCTTTTTATCTTTATTTTGTTAGTTGCGGAAAGTAGACTTATGGTTGTTGTGGCATTTTCATATATATTTTTAACTATATTACAATATCTGTGGTCGACCCTGCAATCTTCTAGTGCTCTTAAGATGGACGGTAGTTCCACTGTATCAAACACCTTTTTAAAGTATATGGCCGTCTCCCAGGAGAAATAAGAAGAAATGGCCAAACGCAGTTCGGTAAAAATGGTTTTATTATAAATTTCATTTTTTTAATTAAATATTTCTCTATTTAATTGCAAATGCCGAATGTATGTGAGAGAAAAACAGTTATAAAGCGCGGTAATTGGACAGAAGAATCACTTAAAGCCGCTATTCTATCAAAAATGGAGAAACCACCATCTGCTCTGCATTTAAAACCTAAGACATTTAACCTAAAATATTGGAACGAAGATGACAATGATAAAAAAAGACCTATGGGTCCTATATTCTATGCTTGAAAAACGATCCTTATAATTATCAAAACCTTATAATTATGCAAAGTAAAGGTTTCCCATTCAATGTTGATGATGTCAGGACAATATTTCATTTTGCAGAGCGATTAAACATAACTAGTAGACTCAACAAAACAATAGAAAAAGCTGGTTATGACTTGATACAAATGTTTTTTAGAAGAAACTGAGGACTGATTACAATGTGTCATTTGTTCGTTTTGAATTCATGAAAACTGTACCAAAAAATTTGACAGCATGTGTTCTAAATGTGGCTAAAAAGAAAGAAGAGAAGAAAAGCAGAAAACTAAAAAAAGAGTGGAGTAAACTATTGGCTATCATCCCCTAGCTACCGTGGGAATCTTTTTGTGAGCATTATCAATACCATCGTTGATAACATTGATAAAAATAATATTAGATAAGATATTATTTTAAACAAAAATGAAACAGCTGAACAACAAGAAGCTTTTTGGTTGATTTTATTAATGCTACAAGTTAAAAATGTTGCATTTGGAACTGATTCATCAACGTTAAAATAACTGCACGAAAGAGTATTCCATATTAAAACTAGAACGGCTTGTGGAAAGTTTTTTAAACACGGCAGGAGCTTCCTCAACAAGACAATTTGGACCAATATAAGAATGTAGCCAACTTCAATCAGTCAAAGAAAGTTGTGAGTTACTAAAGAGTCCAACAGATTACCATTTGGATAACCACCTAAAGATGAACCTTCTAAAAAAAAATTAAAAAGGTGTCAAAATCTTTCGTCCAACATCACAGCAAATCACCAATAGAAAAGTCCTAGTCCTAGGTAATGCAAATACATATACGGAATGTTTAGATGCCTCCCGAATATCACCGGGCAGATGAACAATCGAGAGTTTTAGTTATGCTTTGTTTTAGTTTATTCGATTAAAATGTGTCAATTATTTTGACACACTTTAAAGACTGGATTAAAAGAAAAATGTCAAAAATAATATAACTAAGGTGGGTTTTTAAAAAATTTAGATTTCGGATATATTTCTCACAAATAAAAAAGAAAATTAATTTTAAATGATGATTTAATGAAATTCCTAATCACATTATTCCTTTTCTTCTGCTGCTCATATCGTTTTAGCTGTGATGTCTATGCGTATGATATTGCAATAATGCAGCAGAACAAAGAAATGTTGGAGGAAAAGTTGTAGGAGGGCTATTGAAGAGGGAGGACTTAGGTTTAGCGTGTCGAAAACGAAGTATGTGTAGTTGGGTGGAACAGGGATGGTTGAAGGACATCGGATTGTTTGGGAAAAAACTTGACCAGTAGGAGAATTTAAATACATTGACTTCTACATAACGGAAAATGGTAGACTAGATCGAGGCATTACCCACACGATACAGGCTGGTTGGTTTAACCGGAAGCAAATGTACTCTGTGACCGAAAAATCGGGGATAGGCTGAAAGAACAAATATGGGAGAGTTAGGTAAGGCCTGCGTGGGTGTAACGCGTTAAAGTGTCTGTAAAGAGATTTCAGGAAAAAAAGAAGATGCTGGTAGCTAAAAAAAAAGATGGACTGTGTGGCAAAGATCTTGAGAGAAAAACGTTTAAATAAAAAGGACAAGAAGAGTAAGCAACGGTACACCCTGAAAAGGGAAATGCTGAGAAAGAAGAGGGAGAAGAAGAATAAAAAGCTGTTACCAAAAGACTTGATTACCTCAAAATAATACCTTGAATACTACCAGGTTCGCTTATTTTTAACCGTACTTTACTTCTTTGTTGCATAATACTCTTTATTAGAATCTTCGTATAATATATCTAATGTTATCATCAAATATAACATACCACTATTTCCTACGTTTCCTATGCACAACTGGGAACTAATCAGTTTCTTTTGATACGCCTCTTCACACCTTTGCTTTTTGATTATTGGCAATTGAATGTGCATCAGTGAGTTAGGTAGTCTGCCTTGGTTGTCTATGTAGCCCCATCCAGCAACATCTACATGGCGTCCCAACAAATTCTCATAAAGAAGGTGCCTTCTAGGTAAGCAAGCTGGTAATAGAAAATCTACAATACAAAATTATGTTAATACAAATAATAATAAGAATATACAATATTTCGTTGTAACATTTTCTGTAACATTATCAAACGAAAACTACAATAGAGTTACAAAGAGAAAAAAATGGACAAAAATTCTTTATAAAACTTCCTTAAAATTATAAACCACCCAGACAATCTAAGTGTATCTATGTACATGTGGCAGTTTAAACAATTTTTGTTTAATTAACAATCAGTTATTAAAATACACACATTAGGACAAACATATTATGAACTTGTCACTTTTGAAGCCACATGGTCAATGAATGAAATACCTCAAGGTGATCTAGGCCTATTAGTTGTCAGCTCCGAAAGTGTCTGTCTTCTTCTTCTTCTTCTTTTTATATAGACATGACTCTGTCTGTTTTTCAAAGTGCCTCCAGTAAGTTGTCGTTATATCGTTTTCGTGGCCTTCCTACTGATCGCCTTCCTATTGGGGAACCGTCTCTTGCCGTCTTTACTACTCTATTTGAAGCCTATAAATGCAAAACCAGACATTTGACCTATAAGTTGTTTCGAGTAAATCGCAAAAAACCTACCAAAATCGAAATTTGACACCAATGAACATTGAACTGTTCTGAAGCTATTTTCTTGTGGCATTTTAAATTAATTACTATTTAACTGGGAATAAGATACAATTAAAGATAAAAATACGTTTATTGACGGTTCAATTTCCACTTCGGAAATCGTTCTCAAAATACAAACAGTAAATTAAACAAATTTTGTTTTTTGTTACATAGTGAAAAATTCTTCTAATAATTTAATTTTATCTGACTCATTTATATTGACAATTCAGACATACATTATGCATTTTAAAGTAGACGACTTTAAAATGATATTGCCAATATTGTTGAGTTGCGCTCCTGGGACGACTTTACTTATAAGATAGTTCATTCGATTACATGAAATCAACTTTAACTTGAGAATATCCGTCAGAAAAAAAATTATAGCATACAATTCGTCTTTAAAAAGACAAACACATGACATGATGACAGTAAAATTCTCCTGTTAGTGATTCCATAGTAAATCATGAGGAAAAAATCCAGGAAAAAAACCTCATAATACTATCTCGACATGGTAAGTATTTGTTCGTGCATTTAGTTTACCTTCAATAAACACCAAAATTCTGATTTTATATATTTCGTTATTTAAAAAACATAAATGATATATCCTCTATATGTTACTGACTTACTAATACTGGTATTTTTTTATTAATAACTTCCTCTTTCGATATTGGTAACCAGATCCTATTACATTCTGCCGAGGAATTTGCGACACAATTGGCCTCATTTAGCATAATGAGAGCCGCTTCTTTGATTTTTCTTTTTTTACCATCCGTTTCTTTTAGGACTACATTTGAATTATTTCATTGAACCCTATGTTCATTATCCCATGCGTGTTTACATATTTGAGATCTATCAAATTCTGTATTTTTAATATAAGATTGATGTTCACTTATTCTAACATTTAATGGCCTTGATGTTTCACCCAAATAAAACTGATCGCATTCACAAGGTATTTTATAAAAATGCAATTCTTTGTCTTTTCTTGTTCATTGTTAGGTTTGGTTTTGGACAAAATAGATCTCAACGTGTTTGTTGTTTTGAATGTTGTTGAAATGTTGAATTTATTTCCTATCCTTTTAAGTTTTTCTGATAATCCTTTTATGTACGGTATTGTTATTTTCCTCGTATTATTCCTTGTGGATGCTGTAGGATCTCGTTCTAAGTTGTTCTGTTCTATTCGATCGATTGTTGAAAATTCCTTATTTATAAACAATAAAGGATAATTTTTTTAATAAAACAGATGTTAACAAATGTTTCTCTCCAAGAACGAATTTTCGTTAGAACAAGTAATTTTGGCTCTATCGTATAAGGATTTAATTATTCCCTTTTTTACATTAATATTGTGATTTGATTTGAAATATAAATATCTATTGGTGTGTGTTGGTCTTCTATACACCTGAGTATCATATCCAGTATCGTTCTTAGAGATTAAAACATCCAGGAAAGGTAGCGTGTTATTATATTCCTTTTCCATGGTAAATGTTATTGTCTCTTTTTGATCGTTTATATCATTTAGGAATGTGTCCAACAACTCTGATCCATGAGGCCATATTGAGAATACAGCATCTACATACCTCCACCATACTGTGGGTTTTAAATTTTGTTTAGAAATGATATTTGTTTCAACATCTTCCATAAATATATCGGCTAAGAATGGAGATAAACTAGAGCCCATTGCTAGACCAAAATTTTGTTTATAGAATTCATTATTTAGTTGAAAATATGTATTATCAGTACATAATGTTAATAACTCCATCATAGCCGATATGTTTAGTCTTTTTCTAGTTGCCAATAAATCATCACTTCTAATTTTGTCTTGACTATACTTTAAAGTCTTATTTAATGGCACATTCGTAAATATAAAAAATAAAAATATAAATAAAATAGAAACGTAAATAAACGTATTTTTATCTTTAATTGTCGCTTATTCCCAGCGAAATAGTAATTAACGAATATTGTGTTTTAACCAAAATTTTTTATCTTTGATAAATATAGTTACTACAAATCAAAACATAAATTAGACTTGTTAGTAAGAAGATATTTTGGTTTAAAAATTAGACATGTCTTATTTTGCACGTGAGAGTTGCACATGTCTGCTTTTGCATCTAAGGCTAAATTTCAACTGTGAATAATACCATTCAAATGTCTGTTTATGAACATAAGGGTTAGAAAAATGGATTCCTATCAATGTTTACATATCGAATCCATATATAAATCTGGTTATATTTCTGGTTTGTCTTTTATATGCTTCATTTTATTCGGCTTATTTGATCGTTCCATTCTACTCTTCTATTTCTTATTTAGTTCTTGATGTTCTCCACCTTGCATCTACGTCGTTGATTTGTACTTCTAGCTCTGTCCCATAGTGTCTTATCATCAATTTTACTAAGTGTTTTTATCTCTACTTTTTGCATCCTTTTTGTTCTCTCTGTATCAGGTCTTGTTTCATCAATGGTCTGATGACTGTTTTGTAAATTCTGCCTTTCGTTTCTTTTCCGATATTTTTACATCTCCATATTGTTTCATTTAGGCAGCCTGCGGCTCAGTTTGCTCTATTCGCTTGATCTTCCACTTCTGCTTTGAGCTTTCCGTAGCTAGATAATGGGTAGATATTTATATTCCGTCATTTTTTCTATTATCTGACCCTCCATCTCCAATTTACATCCAATTTAGTCTGTACTGTTTAGTCTGCAAATTTACCATCCAATAGTAAATTTGCTATTGTAACCATGCATTTTGTCTTTTTTGGGGAAATTAACATGTTAAATTTTCTGGCGGTTATATTAAATTGGTGCAGCATACATTGGAAATCATCTTCACTTTGAGGGAGTAATATTGACATATACAAACATTTTTATGAAACATACCCAAATAAAAATTGCAATAATTTACGGATTAGACAATCTATTATTACAGATTAAACAATCTGAGATTTGCCGACAACACCGTTCTGATCGCAGAAACACTTGAAGAGCTACAGACATTGGTGAGCAAGATAGCAGACTGCAACGAAGAATATGGACTATCTTTGAACATAAAGAAAACTAAATTTATAGTAATATCGAAATCAACACAAAATGTCCAAAATTGATATTTACACAATGAAATTATCGATCGAGTTAGCAAATACAAATATTTAGGCACTTTTATAAATGAAGACAACGATAGCTCAGCAGAAATCAAAATAAGAATAGAAAAAGCCAGATCCATATTCACTAAAATGAAGAGAGTGTTCTGCGGAAGAGATTTGAGCCTTGAAATGAAAGTTCGCCTGATGAGATGTTACGTATTTTCTATGCTGTTCTACGGAATGGAGTCATGGACGTTGAAAAAGATTGACATCAAAAAATTAGAGGCATTTGAACTGTGGATGTATCGCAGAATCCTGAGAATGTCATGGACTGAGAGAGTCACAAATGTCGAGGTCTTGAGAAGAATGAATAAAGAAAAGGAAGTCAAATATTTACGATCAAAAAACGAAAACTGCAATACTTGGGACACATTACAAGAGGCGAAAGATATGAACTTCTTCGAATAATAATTATGCAAGCGAAAATAGCATGAAAAAGGTCCATAGGAAGAAGACGAAACTCCTGGCTAAAGAATCTACGGGAATGGTATAGCTGTAGCAACAACGAATTGTTTTGGTCAGCAGTTTCGAAAATACGTATAGCCCTGATGATCGCCAACCTTCGAAACGAAGATGGCATTTGAAGAAGAAGAAGAAGAAGAATTTACGGATCCACTGAGTAGTGAAAAAGAAACGACAACGACAATAAATAAAATTAATTTAATTCGTTAATTGATTAATTAATTTCTAATTACACAACTAACTCATAGCAATTTAAATAAAAACGGTAGTAGAAATAATCGTGGGCAAACCCACAACCACGGAATTCTCGTTAATATTACAATTATTTCACAGAAATTTAGAAGTTCTTGTGGTTATAAAATAATTTTTTGTGTTGGACCTCCGAAATAACATATTTTTATTTAAACCCGTTAATAATGATGATTAATAACAGGAAACTAACAGAAAACGTCGTATATTAGTAATATTTTTGATAAAGTAAAATTTCTTTTACTTTATCAAAAATAAATAATAAATTTACTCTAAAACATATGAATTCCATTTTATAAAACTTATACACTTTTAAACTCAAAGATACCTCAAACAATAATATAAATTGAGCGGATTTGAAACCAGACTCAATGTAAGGGTATTGTCTCGTATAGCAGATAAAATTTATGAACAAATTAAACACAGTTTGCAGCTAACAACTGTATTTAATACCATTTAATTGAAGAGTTTGCAGAAACTGCAAGCTGAAAAATAAGATTAGTGAGGAAGCGTTTATAATCTCATATAATAATGTCCCACGAATGCTGCAACTCTTTTACATG